CCCAATATTTATCATTTTTGAAATCTTGACATTTTTAAGCCCACCGCATGGCTTTAGAAGGCCTGATTTTTGAATGCCCGGGGATCAAACCTCCCAAAATTAACTTTCCACTCCCACCAGACATAACAAATTGCAGCAAAGATCTTATGCATTGCTGTGAAATTCATGCTTTGTGGATAGTAGCTCTTTAACCTAGAGCCATGGAGCTAAAGACCCCACATGCTCAGGAAGCATTATGAAGCCAGTTATAGAAATGTTCCTATCTTTAGAAAGGGCTAAATGAGAAACCTGCTGCCAAACACTTCATGAACTTTTAGTTATTTGAAATTTGTATCCAGATGTTCAAGCCTGAAATACTCTGTTGTGTTTGGTGTTTTCCCTTGGGTCATACTGTGAGGTTAGCAAAGTACTTGGAGGAGAGAAAGCGTGAGAGTGTGAATATGAGCATTTTAGATGCAGTGGGAAAGCATATGTGAAAAGTCCAGAGGTGAAAGTAAGTGGGTGCGCTTTGGTACACAGCTCCGGCAAGAGCTGGCTGAGCTGTGGCAAAAGCTAGCAGGGGCTATTTAAAAGAGCTGGTAGGAACCTAGGTGGCATTAGGACAGTACCTGTAAGAAATGTTGTTACTTTCCCTGCTGGAAAAGACAGAGGCAGAGATTCATTATGCCATGCTGAACAGGGCAGGATGTGTCCTTTAATGGCTTTGGAAGATAGCACCCAAGAGAGGCTATATTGCTTGGATCGGCACTTGTGTGCAGTGCGACAATAACAAAACTGATGACCAGCAGAAGTATGCAAAGTGCATGTTTCCTCTCTACTCAGCCTCTCTAATGCATGCCTGAAACCGAACATTATCTAGGATTGTGTCAGGGAGGTTATATTAGAACCTTTTATGTTCTGATTAGGTAGCAGTGATATCAACAACTCAGGAGAGGGACAAATGGAGAGATAAATGTAGCCGTCAGGAGCACACATGCATTATGCAAGAGCCTTTTTACCACAGAGCATCTTACCATAAGTATGAAGGGTGCAGATGAGTGCTCTTTCTGCAGTTATTACACCTGTTTGTGAGAATGCAATCCAGCCCCGAGGAGTGGGTTTGCTTGGGTGTGTGGAAAAAACAGAGGAGATTATCGGGGTGAACAAAAGGGCTGTAGTGCAGGCATGTCAGAGAACGCCCGGCATGTCTGCAACCTTTCCCTTCTCCACTGTAGAGAGGATTAGGGACAGATTATAAAGGTTTTTTTTAGGGGCTACAGCTCAAGGTGCTGGGCTAAAGCCTTTGCATGCTCTGCCTTGGGCTAGCTCTGCTCAGGCTCTCTGCACCTCCAACCTCAGCACACGCCCCAGCAACTGCCTCCTGCACACTGAACCAAACTGCTCCAGAGCCTCGGAGGGTCCCCACAAAATCTACTAGTCCTGGGTCCCCAGAAGAGTTAATCTGGCCCTGCAGAAGCCCTCGTGCAAAAGGCATTTCAGGGTGGACTGAGAAGGGGTGGTTCTAGGGCACAGCCAGGCCTAAGGAGAGAGAGGGTCTGGCTGGACTGTTCTTATTCCCTGGCTACCCAGGGCACTGAGATTGTGACATGACTTCAGGTAGCTAGGAGCCGAGTCAGCAGCTGAAGTGCCCCCAGCAGCTCCAGAATCCTCCTGTTTCTGCACAGATCCTAGGCACCTGCCACCATTGGCGTCAGCAAATGCAGAATTGAGACTTGGTAGCATCTTCTAACCTCTTTGCACTAACCTGATGAGGGTGTCAATGACTGGGCATGATTGTAGTTCATCAGGCCCACTATTTTGTCTCTGCAATAGGCTGGCTAGAACTGAATGTTGCCTCCAAGTACAACCAGGTTAAAGATCAGTTCATTCTTCCAGAGACTCGTACGCTGAATACGTATTTATTTTACACTATTCTTGGGCTCTGCAGCCCTGGAAGCTCGAATCCAACTTTTGTTCTTCATCCAGCATTGACTCAAGAGAATTGCAACAAAGAACCCGGCCCTGTGAAGTTAGTGGGGCATCTTTGGTGGGCCTTGGACTGGGCTCTGATGCCTTTTGTCTTGGAATGATGCCGAGAAGGAATTGCATGTCTGCACAAATGTCAGATATTGGAGCCACACTCCACTCCACTTCGAGATTCAAATGCCTGTATAGGGCAATGAGCATTCACGGGCTTGACGAGCTAGTCAATCCAATCAAGCTTTAAAAAAAGAATGGTGCAAACATCCCAGCCTTTCTGTGGGGCAGACTGGGGTCTGTCTTGGAATGATGCCGAGAAGGAATTGCATGTCTGCACAAATGTCAGATATTGGAGCCACACTCCACTCCACTTCGAGATTCAAATGCCTGTATAGGGCAATGAGCATTCACGGGCTTGACGAGCTAGTCAATCCAATCAAGCTTTAAAAAAAGAATGGTGCAAACATCCCAGCCTTTCTGTGGGGCAGACTGGGGTCCCCGTGTGACAGCACTGCCTGCTGAGCTTAGAGGAATTTCTCATGATAGCAAGGGCTATGCTCAGTGGCATTCGCAGCCCTGGTCCCCAAGACACCCTTCAGTCCAAGCACTGCACCGTGTCTTGCCTGTGCCCCACACTGACCATCCAAATAAAAGCTGGGATCTTGGCAGGCCCCAAAGAAGCATCTGTTTCTGATTGGAAAGCAATATGGCTGCGAGGAAGATTTTGAGCACAGGCTGCGGGCAGGGTAAAAGTCAGGGAAGTGCATAACATGCAGGTGTGTGGTTGTGTCATGGAGTGGTCCTTTATGAGTCTGTCACCTTTTGGAAACAGACCATTCTCAGTTCAGGTTATATTCACCACCACCGTGCTTCCTTGTAGCGTTCTGGAAGCCTGTAGTATGGATATACAGGTCCCAGTCAGCTTGCCCTCTGATCTGGGAGGAGAAAGGGGTAATACAAGTAGCAGCCAGTTTTGCTCTCAATCCCTCTTTCCAGAGCTTCCTTCCTCTCCGTTTATCTTCTTCCATGGGTTGGGGTTGCTTCCCCCTCTAAACAGCCATTCAGCTGCAGCTCCACTAGTTAATTGATCCTCTTTTAGTTCCCAATTACCCCATATTGGTGAGGATTTGAGTGGCAGGGAGCCAAGTGTAAGGTGCACAGGACACATGCAGATGCGACCTCTCCTGGCCCGAACCCACAAAGAACAGCCTTGCTTGGCAAAGCGGAAGTTCTATGGCTGACTGCAGCAGAGGGGGAGAGGAGATATGGAAGCAGTAAGACCAAAACTGCAGTGGAGTTATACATCCTGTGGAGGAGGATGTATAATGATAGGGATGAGAAGGATAAAAGGGAAGCCTGCACATCTAGTGGGAAAAAAAATGAGTTTAATAGCAGCTTAAGACTGGGGATTTTAGCAGCGCTAACATGGAGAGAAATTAAGCTCTCAACACAGAAGGTTATAAAGTGCTTATAGTCACAGACCCATGCAAAGAGCTTAGCAAAGAAAACAGAAAGACTGTGCTTACAGGCACCAGCAAAAAGGACCAATGCATTAACCTAAACTTGGCTGAGAGCGGAGTCACAACATCTACCGATCCTATTAACTAAGCCAAAAGATTCAGGTTTCAATAGGGACGTAACCGGCAGCTAAGTGAGGTGTGTCATGCTTCTTGGACTCACTTCCTTGTGCCTAAATATGACAGCACATATGGCAAGATCAGCGACACAGTGATGAGAACCAGATCATCTGCAATATGGGGCTGCATTTGGGTGGAGATAAGACAGATTTCCACACTTTACTCTGAACTGTCTGGCTTTCCTCGGTCAAAACCAGCCCCTGAACCTGAGTTAAGAGCTGGGTTTCCTGTGTGCATGCCCCCATGGATTGTGTGCTGGGATGGTTTATTTTTTTAATGCTGTTGTTGAAACAAACATTTGAAAGCCCTTACAGTCTATTTTTAAAAATCTTTATTGAGGAACTCTGAGTGGATCTTGCCCTTAGAAAGATCATAGCAGATGTGACAGAATAAGAACCCAACCCATTATCATGTAGTGCTGGCAGGCACTCCCCATCCCGGAGAAGCTGAAACTCCAGGAATAGGTTGAGATGTTTAGAAAGGTTGCCTGGGGCCCCTCGTTTCCTGGAGGCACAAGGAAATACCACATTTCTAAATCATTGTCCACCATGATGCCTGCTTGCACCACAACACTTCACTACACTAAGGGCTCAGTGGAGAGTTAACCGAGTACCCCTGCCTCCTCGTCACTTTGATTGGGAGTGAAGGGCACTTGTCACTTGGTGAAAGATGTGCAGCACTTTCAGGTGCCCCAGCCAATGGAGAACTGGTGTAGTATGAACAGAGCAGCACAGAAGGCTAATCTAGGAAGAATTCCCTAGTAAAGGCACTGGAGGGCTAGGAGTGATGTTCCTAACTTTGCCACGTACCCCTATGTGACTGTAGCAAGTCATTTCACCTCCCAGTGCCGATAATGAAGATCACAGCTAGTTTACATCTTTTCTAATCGGTACTACTGGAATGTAAACAATGGACTTAAAATATGAATAAGACCTGGGCTGGCAAGCATGGTCTGATGCCAGCCCAGAGTACAGGAGCTCATAGAATCATAGGGCTGGAGATGATCAATATAGGTATGAAAGAAAAATACTTTATATGTACTGCATCAAAAAGTGCCTGCCTGCTAATAGTTCCTGGCCCAGAACAGGGTAGGAAGTCAGACTCACACTGTGCAGCCCTTAATTTTGGGAAGTTACTCAACTGAGTGGCAGCGACAGTGAATTTCCCAGACTTCTTCATTTGCATAGTGACCCGTTTTTCGCTTTGGAAAGTGTCCCTTTCTCGCCGCTTTAAAGGAAGTCCTACTCCCAAGGCTGTCTTTAGCTGCCTGGTCCGGCTCCCTTCCCGCGCTGGGCAGCCATTACAAGTGGATTACAGCCAATCTTATGCTTCTACACTCCTTCCCTTCCCCCCCAAATCTCCACCCAGGAGAGCAGCCACCACCACTGGGACACAGGTACCTACCTGCTCTTTTTCCGAGTAGGGGTTGTTCAGGACGATGGGCGTGTCGCTCTTCCCTCCCAGGTCATTAAAAACTCTATCATTTTCCATCCCGGCTTGAACGGGTTTCTGGGACTTACTGTCCACTTCCCTGAAACTGAGAATGGGTGAATATTAGTCAGTTCACTTCCAGGATGCTTGTTCTTTGGATCTTTCAATGGCTCTGCCATAAAAAAAACCTCACATGGAATGTGTGTGTGTTGTGTGCTCCCAGCATGCAATTGTTGCTAACCCCTGCCAATCGCTTAGATACAGGACTGTCCCTGGACAGCTTCCCACAGGAGAGAAAACTTGCAAGAGTTTTGTATGAGGAGGGATGACTCCTTCCCCACACTGCAATCAGCTTATGCTAACTCCACAGCAAACCATGAGTATCATTATAAAGTCCTCGCTAGGCCAAGGTAGTGAAGAGAGAATCATCCAGGTTACACCTTTGCAGAAGGTTGTGTTCCTAACCCTCCCCCCCCGAATTCAATATGCAGAGTGCTAGCCCCCCACAACACCAACCACCTTTGAGCCAATACAGAGCAGAGAACCTTTAGCCACACTTTAGTTATACCCATGTCCGCTACCCGATGCTGTCCAGCAGCATAAGAACAAAGAGCATAACTGAAGTGTTCCTTAAAATACAAATGCATCAAAGCAAATTAAGGGGCCCTAGTTTACTAACAGAATTGGAAGGAATGGGGACAGAATCTAGCATTGACGATGGTTATTTTACAACAGCTCTATTTGGGTTACGGGGGGGAGCGATGGGGGGGGAGGGGATCTTTTTTGTTTTTGATAAGTGGGATGCAACAAACTGACAAGATTCTCCAGGGAAGTGAATGTGATGCTTTGAGAGCTGGATTACACACACTTGTGTACATAAGAGACTTTACACAATGAATTCCACTAAAGTAGACTACTCACACATGTAAAATTACTCATGTTTCTAGGGTTGGCGGGTTAATGTGCTAAGAAAGAAGTACTATAAGAAAGAACATTGCAATTGTCACTTGTACTGGATCAAATTTAGCTGAAGAGCAACACTGAGCAATACTGTTTTTTGTTTAAAAAACAAAACAAAACAAAAAACCCACCACAATGCAGAATCGACCTGTGGAACTTACCGCCACAAGACATCATTTGACGTAATTATTTAGTAGGCTCCAATAAGATGCCTAAAGGCTACTGCAATATGAATACTAAAGCAAAGAAATAAGGAATTAGATATTTATAGGAGTTATAAAAATACAATCCAGTCAAACAAGCTAGGAGGAAAAAAATCATGAATTATATCAGCACTCATGTTTTAGGACAGGGGTGGTGAACCTTTTTTGAGTCGAGGCTGCTGACCCACAGGAAAATCAGTCAGGAGCTGCATACAAGTGAGAAGCAAAACAAACGAACAAACAAATAAATCCTCAAAACAAAAAACAAAACAAAACAAAAACAGAAACCCTCACTGACATGGCCCTAGACTGAGAAGCACAGCAGAGCCATAGGCCCAGACTAGTAGATTTTGTGGGGACAAGCCTCCAAGCAGAACTTTGCTGTGCCAGCTAAGGGAAGGGCAGTGGCAGGGCATGGAGCCTCTTCTTCCACCACGAGGCAGAGCCCCTGGATCAGATCCAACTCTGGCTTTCCTGACTCCCGCCTGCGAGGCTTGGGATTCCTCCCAGCACAGGTGCTACAGCCCCGTGGGAGGAAGGGAGCATGGAGCTAGAACGCCAGCGCCAGTCTCCAATGCTGGGAGAGCAGAGGCCAAAGCCTCCAGCCTTAGGTTCCCCAATCTGATTTAGGACATAAACCAACAGTTTATTGCCCAGGGTTGAGAAGACACTTCTTCCATAAGAATGCCATTATTTAGTTGCCTGTGTTACAGCTTTATAATTGACTAGACTAAATGGACTATTGTTCTAATCCACACTGTCAATTCTTTTCTTTCTACGTAGGTGGAATCTTTATTCCCAGACAACATCAAGCACTGAAAAACAACTCCTGTTGCAACTCTACCTCATGCAACTGCTCTATGTAACAGCCAAACCTTTGACTTAAGTGGGCTTTCGATCAGGCTCCTAATCAGGATCAGGGCACTCAAAACATCAATGTGAATAGGTGCCCTGATCACAAAGACACTTGTAGTGTAAAAAGTAGAGAAATGCCCATAGCAATTTAACTTTCATGAGGTCTTTCCCAGGCATGTGGCTTTCAGTATAAAGAAGATACAACAGCTTTCAGCTTATTTCTCCCCCTTCCCCCCCAACCAGTCCAGAACTTTCCAGTTCATTTATGGAATAAAGTATGAGCCCTCTGGCAGCCAAGATGTTACACCATTTCCCAGGGCCTTTTTCTAAACACTAGGTAGCCTTTAGGTGAAAGCTTCCACTTCATATTTCCAACAGGACTCAGACCCGATAGAGGTTGGATTTTTAATTGAAATTCCCATCTGTCATCTCTACAAAGAAGAAACTGTTCTTTTCCTAACCCTGCTTTTATGAGCATGTGAAAGGGCTTTGATTAAATAAAATACATAACCTTACCCAACCTTAATCTGTTCCATTCAAAGTCAGAGAGAGCTGTAAAATAATGTCTAGGTGCAACATGAAAAATAAGCATGCATCAAACTCGTTGTGAATGTTCTGCATTGTGTGGTCCCCACACCTGCCTGCCAGGCTGAGGCCCCACTTCTGAGCCTCAAATTACCCATTGTGCCACACCATACACCTCTCAGGGGCGGGGCAAAAGAACTAAACCCACAGTGACATCACAGGAACAGAATGCAACAGCTCTTCAGAGATGGGACAGTGCTTTGACTGTGCACGGTGCTGGGACAGTGTAACATATGGCTCCCTAATACTGTAATATCCCAACACTCTCTCAACCTCCCCCATGAGATAGAACAAGGCTATTATCCCCATTGTACAGATGGACAACTGAGGCACAAAAAGCTAAGTGATTCATTCCAGGAGTCAAGGGCTAAGTCAAGAATCAAGCCCAGCTCATCTGAGTCCCAGACTGGACCATCCTTCCTTTTATTCTCTGTTGGCATAATTGAGCCTTATTCTTTTTGATGCCTTTGAGGCTGCAGTTATTACTTACTTGTATGCCTGTTGCACCAAGACCACACGAAGGTTATTGCTGAGGGAAGGAGCAGGACAAAATCCAAAATGGAGAGCTCCCTGCTAACAAAATATTACCATGGAAATGAAGGGTTTTAAAAAGAACACTGTCCACGGAAATCAAGAAATCTAGGGCGCAAAACCAATTAGCGCAGAGGTCTGGGGGAAAGGGGGAGCACTGGGGAGTAAGCACATTCTGTATTCACCCCACAGGGGCTCCACCTATCCTTGCAGGGCTGGGCATCACTGCAACCCGGCACACAGGTTCGCAGCACAACTCAGGTTTGGCCAGGCTATCCTCCCATCAAATTCAGAGAGTGGATCCTTTCAAATAGGGGTCCTAGGACAAACTACTCCTTTTGTTCTCCTCCATCGCTCACTGGGCAGCCCTGATTAGCACCAATGAGGTACCAACCGAGACTGAGCCCCCATTGTACTAGGCCAGGGTGGGCAATAAGCAACCAGTGGGCCAGATGCAGTTCTTCAGAGTTAGCCCCTGGTAGGTTGCTGGCACTTTATTTACCTGCACATCCACAGGTTCGACCATTTACAGCTCCCATTGGCCGCAGATTGCTGCTCCTGGCCAATGGGAGCTGTAGGAAACAGCATCCCTTTCTTTGCCACTTCCCTCAGCACCCATTGGCCAGGAATAGCCATCTCCAGCCAATAGATGCTGCAAGCAGCTGTGCCATAGATGGGCAGGTAAATAAAGCACCAATGGCCTGGCCCACCAGGGGCTAACCCTGGTGAATTGCATGCGGCTTACAGCTCATCCCTGTACCAGGCACTGTATAGACATTTATGCGAGGTCTATGTTACATCCTTACTTCATTAGAACTAAGTCATTCAGGATGCAGGAGGGGAAACAGAGGTACAGGAAAGTCAAGGTACTTGCCTAAGAACACGCAGCAAGTCAGTGGCAGAGCTGAGGATACAGCCCAGGACCGAAAAGCTACCCCAACAAAGTCAAGGGAAGTTTTGCCATTGATTTCACTACACTTAGTTCTTTTGAGTCCCAGTTCCTTAACCTATTTCAGTCTGCTGAGTTTGCTTGGCAGTAGAGAGTCTCAAATTTACTTGGAATAGACAGGAGAGATAGCTGCTCTAGTTCCTGGCAGCCTACTTGGATGAACCAGTAAGAGCTCGGAAGTCTAATGTTTTTGCACTGATGTTGTGAGCAACGTCTAGAGCAGTAACCAGAAGGTGAGAATGCTGCTAGGAATGAGCGGAATTCAGCAAAACCCCTCTGTGCGTGCACTTGTCCCAGAGGGTGAAAAGCACATTTTGGGTATAGGCATCTGTGCCAGCACAAGCCAAGAAAGGAGCTATGGATGCAGGAGAAGGAGCAAGAAAATGTGTGCAGGCACTGTTCTGGGCTAGAGACAAGAAACAGGCTTATTTTCCCCTCTCACCTAGCCTTTTGGCATTGCCTTAAGCTTTCCTCTGGATCACCCATCACCACCAATGGAGATGGGTCAAAATGTAGTTTGTAAGTGACTCTCCTTCATTCTTGCTCTGGGTTTTCCCCATTGTCAGGTGGCAGTTCCTGCTGCAGGGAACATTTCAGGCTCAGAAGGAGCTGGCACACTCCACTGCACACAGCACAATGCACCCAAGCCTTTTTCCACCATTACCTAGGGGCTAACCAATGTCAGACGTTAGAGAATAACAATGTGCATTACCCAAAGGACTCCAAAGTGCTTTACTCACCAACAGAAAGAGGCAAACCCATGCTTCCCAGAGCAATGAAACCTTTGGTAAGGGTATACTGAATAGGTTCTGAACATGCACTTCACTACAGAGGGTGTTAAAGGAATACCAGACATGAAGCCAAACTGTAAAGCCTTTACAGAACACCCAAGCTCATCGGTCAGGGTGTGATTAGGCTCAGAAAGTGCATAATAGAATCCCCAGCTGGTTTTGCAGACACAAAGAGTAGCCACAAGATACGATCAGTATGAATGTCTTATTATAGATTAAGCAAGCCAGCAAA